TGCTACCTTGGCAACATTGCTCATTTTGTTGACAGTTAGCACTTTGACAATTCTTTTCTTGACCTTGTTGTTGTCGTTGTTGCTGATTGTTCATTTGCTGGCCAGCTTGTTGATTTTGATTTGATGACATTGTTTGTCAATTTAATTGAGTAGATTTAAAGAAAAGGTGTAAATTGTTAAGTTTTGTTGCGTTGAAAAAATTGTTATGCTGTTCGCGTTTTGCATCTCGTATATATACTAGATGAAATACGCAAAAAGTAAATTGGTAGGAGTACGCATTATTAGAATAACGCAAAAACATTTTATAGAACGGAATTCTTTTTTTGCGCAGATCAAATCGCACAATATATGTATGAAAGGGAGTTCAGATAGGACAAAAGAATTGCTGTAGTATTTATTTTGTGGAGAACAGAAAAAAGAATGTTCTCTGTATTTCTTCACTTTTTTTCTATTCACTATTGACTTTAAAGAATAGAAAGAATTGCGTTGTATTGTATAGAACGAGAAATGTGTTCTTTATTGATGTATTATTATTGTTTTTTACGTTCTTATAATTTCGAGCATATGAATAATTCACATGAAAAAGGCAGGACTTATGATATTATTACAGTTGACAGAATGGGTGTGGATGTGGGTTAAGAGAAGATAAAAACCCATACCCATACCCACACTATTTTATATAATTATCAATAAATATCGATGTAATAGATTGAATACATACTTCTGATATCACTTTTTCATTGATTTGGTATTGAAAACAAAAGATAATCATCAAATTGAATATTATATTCATTTTCATTTTTGTAGAAAAAACTATTATATAAAAAAAAATTTAATGTTTTTAAAACATTTAATATACATTATAGTTGAAATATATGAAGAGTTTCTACGAGTTTGGTGTGATCCAATCTCATTACATTCTAAGACTACTAGAAGAAGATAAAAATGTTATTTTCTACTCGTACAATTCAATCGTATAGTATTGATGAACCGAAAGCAGAATGATTGTTAATCTGTGTAAGAACTTATCTTATATATGAATAGAAGAAATATTTTTCTCGATTTTTTATATTGTATTTTGACTTTCTTTTTTTCATTAGACTGTAAAGGATAAAATTCAACTGTTTGCATAAATGAAAACAACCTGTTGATATAGAATAAATGAAAAATTCTTGGATAAAATTGTGGTTGTTTTTTGTTACTAATCGAGCGCAATAAAATGAAATGTTAATTTTTATTGTCCTTTTCTTTTTTATTATGATAGAATTTCCAACTAATAAAACTTTATTGTGATGACTGATTGTATTTTCGTCGAAAGAAAGACATTTCGTTACATTTTTCTTTTGAAACTAAAGCCTTTTTACAGGTGTGGGTATGGGTTTCGAATGAGTAGAATAGCGACACTCACACCCACATCTGCAATTTCAAAATTTTATCAAATCAAAAAACAAAAACCATTTGATTATTTTCATCAAATATAAAATGTTCTTTTCAAAGAATTTTTATTTTAATTCAGTTCAAATTAAAAAATTCTTTTTCTTTCTTATCTTCGGTAAAAGTCAACAAAATATGAAAAACTTGACACTTATTTATTCGAATTTTACTCAAAATTATCAAATTAAATTAAGTTAAAAAAAACAATCCAAAAAAAAACACTTTTCGTTTTTTTCTTCAAAATCTATTTGACTGTTTGTTTTAAAAAGTTCTTTTCTTTTTTTCAAAATCAAAACGTCGTTCACAAAATTATTTCAAATTTTTGAATTCCATATTTCACACAATCAGCAACATAAAGATTTCCTTCATCATCAAAAGATAAACCCATGGGAAGATTCAACTGATTTGCTTGATTTCCTTCACCATTTCCACCAACAATAATTTCACCTTCTTCTTTTCCTTCACACCAACGCATTACTCGATGATTATTAGAATCTGCCACATAGATCCGACCCAGATCATCAACAATCACTCCTTGAGGTGAAGACAATTGATTAAGATTTCTTCCTTTACCATTTCCTCCGGCCACAATTCTTCCTTCTTTTGCACCTTTTCTCCATTTCATCACACGGTGATTGCTAAGATCTGATACGTAAATAGATTGATCTTCATCAACAAAGATAAAAGTAGGATTATTGAGTAGATTAAGTCGATCTCCTTTTCCATTTCCACCTGCCACGACAATTCCTTCGTTGTATTCACCCATTTTCCATCGTCTCACTTCATTCTTCTCACAATCAGAAACATAAAGAAATTCATTTTTATCCACTACCAAACCAAAACAGTCAATATTGTCAATAATAATTTGTTGATTTTGATTTAACCATTGAATCACTCGTCTGTTTCCAGTATCTGCAATGATGATCGAACGATTGTGTTGATCAACAATCACATCTTGTGGATAACTCAATTGATCCATTCGAGTTCCTTTGTCATTTCCACCTGCAATGATTTGTCCTTCCTTTGCATTACATTTCCATTCAACAATACGATGATTTAACCAATCAGCAATGGAAATATTCGTGTTTTCATCGATAAAGATTCCATAAGGACCATTGAGTTGATTTAATTTTTGTCCTTTTCCATTTTCACCGATCACAGTGATGGCATTTTGTTTCCATTTGTCCCATTTTGATACTAGAAAATGGTGAAAACAAAACATTTCAATAGAAGGAAGAAGAACAAGAAGAAAAGTTGTTTTTCATGGAAAAAAGAGGAAAAGATTAATTTTGAATGAAATTTTATTAGAAAAGCAAATCATATGAAGTATTGTACTTGGAAAATAAAAATAAGTTCTTATCAAAAGAATTTTAATCACAAAAATCTTTTTGTTGTTTTTTGAATTAAACCTAGTAAAATGAAATGAAGAGATATTTTGTTTTAAGATAAATAATTTGAAGTTTGTTTTTTAGAATCGAAATTTTGAAGGAAAATTATTTTTATTGAGGGTGGGCGTGTGGGCATGGATTTGGGTGTGAATATTTTATTTTAAACACCCACGACCACAGTCACACCCTCATGGTTTAATTATTATAGCAACACACTATTTGAGAAAAAGAAGATATGGTGTGACGTTTAGTTTTGGATTTCGTCCAATCTGTGTTTTGCCTGACACTAATTTTGAAGCTGTACAGTAATCTAATGAGACTACATCTCCCGGATATATCAATACATTATAGATGTTTGTTTTCTCGAGTTATGATTGTTTTTAGAATTTCAGAGCCCCCTCAGAGTAGTTAGAAAGCTTTTAGCCACTTACAGGACCTGTCTTGCTCACGTTTATGGAATTGGAATATACATCAATCTTTATATCGACGTTAGATATACTATCGATGAACGGTCTCGTTGCTTCTTCATTGGTTCCCTTATAAAAGTAGTTATCAGTTTAAAATTATCTATTTGTTTTTTTCGTAGAATAATTATCATTTACGTTTATTTTTATCGTATTTCTTCGTCCTGTTAAATAATTGATTCTCTGTGTTTGCATTGCTCGATTCGAAAGATAAAGATTTTTTCGTATAAAAAGCACAAGAAAGTCTGAATGGAAAATATCGTTATTAATTCTTTTTGAATTTTCCAGATGAAGCGTAATTTTGATTATTTGAATTATTTCATTATTGAAAATTGAACAGAATAGTTTTAATTAATTAACATAAACAAATATTTTTGTCTCACATTTCTAGAAATCATATTCGAAGACTTTTCATCCAAAATATTGTAAAATACTCTCCTTTTATGTCTTTAAATGTTATGGACATGAATCCATGTTTCTTATATCAGAGAAGTCATTAGTAAGCGAAGAAATAAACAGAAGATCTTATTTGAGATCAAAAATATAACGCACTTATTTCAAAACTGTTCAATAATATTTACATACCCTTTGCCTTATGGCATTTAATAATTTTTTGAAGTTTTTTTTGTCGTTCTCGATCAAATAGTGTTATCACCGATTGATAATTATCTTGTTCAATAATACGCCATAAAGATGGATCAGCAACAGTGTTTGTCCAAAGTGTTGGATCACGATTGTTTAACGTATCACCTCCAACCGCTTCGAAGTTCAATAATGATGTTTGATCAGATGATTTACTTTGTGATTGATCATCAGAACCACCATCAACATGTATTTTGGCTGGTTTAAAAATCGAAGCAGACAACGATAACTCAGCATTTATTCGTTTTTGTGCTTCTTCAGCTTTCTCTTTATTGTGATGTACTTCTGTATGATAAATATGACCACCCAAAACAACGTTTTTTGGATATACATGACCATATATTGAAAGAACTTCCTTTAATTTAAAAATTTGTTCATTTCGTGAGGTAAGCAAAAGAACAACATCAATCGCTTCAATGAATTGAGGTGTTGGTTCGAGATAAGATGAATCAAGTTCCAAAGTAACACGTGGAAAATTAAAACAAGAAGTTAAATATACTTGTCTTTCTGTAATGGTTGTACTCTTGCTATTTGAATATTCTCCATTAATACCAAATCCAATATAAGGATTAGAAAACTCGATGATACCATCAAAAAATTGACTTGAAAGAAAAGAACTTTGCATTTCTTTATCTTTCATATATATACGAATGTTTGAATTATCAGTAACTTGAAAAAGAGGAAAATCTTCATTGTTTTCTCTGAATTTGAATATGGGTTTGAAAGCACGTTTGGGCGTTTTTTCATCCATTCGAACACCACGAAAAAGATTACAATTATGAAATATTTGTTGCCACGTATCAAGATTTAGATTAGTAGCTAAGATAATCTCATTTTCAAGACGTGTTGGTGTTGAACCGGGTACTTTAATTTCACGAAAAGAAGTTCTTGTTGATCGGCTGAGTGTTTGGGCATAATTAAGATCAGATTTTCTTCCAAGTGCTTTGTTTTTTATATCCGGAATTGGTATTGGAGTTGATTTATCTTTGTCAGTTATTAATCGAACAGCCTTCTTTTCAGTTAACAAACCTTTGATAGTCATTAATTTCTCATCTTCAATGTGTACACGATAGTCTTCAGCATTAAGAAAACAAGTATTAGATGATATATAATTCAGTGTAGAAAGTTTGCTTCGAAGTTCAGCAGCACTCCTTGAATGATCGAATACAAAACTGTATTTTTCACCATCGATATCAAGACGTATTATAGAGATTTGTTCGGTTGGAGATTGACCCGTCGCCATCTATGTCGTAAAAATCAGGGCGACTTTAAAAAGAATCGGTGATTAAATCAGGTTTTATTATGATTATGAATGAAGAATAAATTTCTGAAAAATTGATGATAGATGGTCGATTTCGATAATTGATTATGAATTCGGAAACGATTCAAAAAATATTTCAATATTTATTAAACTAATAGTCAAATATAATTTCTACACACTTATTTTAAATTATTAGTAAGATTTGAAACTAAAATCAAAATTTTCTTTCGACATGAATGTCACTATTGTGATAGGAACGAGATCGGACTATTTTAAATACTGATCAAACTAAGCTTCTCATTTACATTCATTTGTTTCAAAACGTTTTGTTAATAATAAATAGTTTATTTTATATATATTTTTATATCTTAAGTGTTGTTTTTTAATTATTAATGTTTGCATAGATCTATAGTTTTAGATAATACAATATCTCAACGATATATGTTAACCGGAATAACTTAACCACCTACTGTGTAATGATATCTTCTATTATCACCATTGTATATAACCCTATATTTGTCGTTTAGAATACTTACTTCTTTTTCATTTTAGATGTTTCGTCTATGGGCGAAAAGGATCTTTCTAAACGAATTCAGTTTAAAATACTCATTACTACATAGAAATGTTTCCTTATATTATCATTTTTTCCAAAAATTTTTCGTCTAATTATGTAAAATTGTGCATCACGTTTCTATCTTTGTTTTTCTTAGATGATTCATTCATATACATGATGTAAACATGCAATTTTTGAATAAAAATATTCATAGAGTCAGATTATTAATAAAAAATTTTGGATATAAGAAAAAACGAAAGCTATATAATACACATCAAATCGTAGAGAATATTGGTAAATCAAGAGCAAAAACTGACTATAAAATTACAATACATCGTGATTAACCTTCAATTTCTTACCGATTTTAAGACTATGGGTATTGCTGAATAATATCTCTTATCCATCCTTATATAAATGAAGAAATCGAAAAAACGCTCCTTTGCTTTTATGTCAATATAGAGCGTTAGTTTTGATGAGTAAGCGAAGAAAAACACTCAGCTGATAACAATGATCCATTTGTTTGGCAAATATATACAGAAAAAAATGTTTCTTTTTATCGTAACCAATATGTCAAGTGAATATTCAACATCATCTCAACAGGTAACTCTTTTTTACGTTAATCTTTTACTTTCGTTCTTTTTCTTCTGATTATCCTTTTAAGTTTTTCACCTTCTTATTATATATTTCTACATCTTTTTTCTTTATTGATATAAATTGTGCATCGACATTTTATGTCTTATATACATTATTTATCTTCATTCCATCATAACATGTCGGAAAAAAGTTCTTTATCTGACGTAAGTAGAAGGGTGTGGGCGTGAGTCATATACATCTACACCCACACCCTGTTTTTTATTATTCATAAAAATATTTCAAATTATTTATTCAATCATTTCTTTAATTATTCTAACTAGGGCTGTCACATTACTTATTACTCATTGCTTTATTGCTCTGATTACTTTATTACTTATCATATTATTACTTTTACTACTTTTTTGGATTTTTTCAGCTTAGCTGGAATCAAAGAGTATGTAAATCACTATCTACAATAGATCATGATTCACATATATTTTGATCAGGAATAAATAAAAAAAACCAAACAAGCAATAATATAATAAGTAATAAAGTAAACTGAGCAATAAAGTGATAACTAACAAGTAATGTGACATTCCTAATTCTAATGAGACGTTTTTCTTACGAAATGCTACTTTGAATTGTCAATATGGTTTAAGTAATAAAAACACTTTTAAATGCTTTTTATTTTCATCAAATTTCAATGAAAAAACATGAACAAAACGAAAATCTTTTCACAAAAAACGTCATTAATTTGAACTTAATCATTGATTTGGTTTTGTTTATGAAAAAGAAGAAAATTGAATTTAAAAGAAAAAGTATTAAAATTAAAATCAAAAATATTTTAAGAAAATCTTTTTCTTCAAAGATCAAAATAAAGAAAATCTTCGATTTTTTATTATAAATTCAAAAGAAGCAAATGTTTATTTGAGAAAATTCAATTAAATCACAAAGAGAAATAATCAGATACTTATTTATATTGCTTTGAATAATAGAACTAAATCTTTGGAGTTTTATTACATGAAATCAGACGAGTAAATTTTTCTCCCATCAAAAATTCTTGAAATTAAAAATCTAATTTGAATTTTGGGTTATCGTAGAACTTTTACTGCTTTCTGATTTCATTTCATTTTTCTTTCCCAATTCTTTTTTTGTTTCTATCTCAATGAATATATTCACGGATTTATTTTGATATTTCAAATAGAATTTCTTTTCATTGATTTGATTTTGACAAATCGTTTTTTGATTGGATTTTCATTAGAAATTTTTTCAAAATTAAACAGAAATAAAATTAAAAAATGATAAAATTTGTTAGTTTATTAAACAAAACTCTTTTCAACATTTGTTTTGTTTAACTAAATTCATTTCAATTCAAATTTTATTATCAAATTTTCATGAAACAGTTTTTTTCTTTTCAATCTTCGAAATAATTTTCAAATTTCATCAAATAGAAAAAATAAAAATATTTGAATAGAATTTTATCAAAAACAAAATCTTCTTTTCAAAGAATTTTTATTTCAATTCAATTCAAATTAAAAAATTCTTTTCCTTTCTTATCTCCGGTAAAATTCTACCAAAATCAACAAAGATGAAGAATTTAGCATTTATTTATTTCGAGTTTTTACTCAAAATTATCAAATTAAAATCAATTTTAATGAACAACAATCAAAACACTTTTCTTCAAAATTTATTTAACTTTTTATTCAACAAAAAAATTACATTCATAAAACTATTTCAAATTTTACAATTCGATGATTCCAACAGTCAGCAACATAAAGATTTCCTTCGTCATCAAAAGATAAACCACGAGGATAATTCAATTGATTTTGTTGATTTCCTCCACCATTTCCACCAACAACAGTTTCGCCTTCTTCTTTTCCTTCGCACCAACGCATCACTCGATCATTCCCATAATCTGCCACATAGATTTGACCTAAATTATCAACGATTACTCCTTGAGGTGAAGACAATTGATCGAGATTTGCTCCTCCACCATTTCCTCCAGCCACAACAATTCCTTCTTTTGCATATTTTCTCCATTTCATCACACGATTATTGTCTTGATCTGATACATAAACCGATTGATTTTCATCAACAAAAATAAAAGTAGGACAATCAAGTTGATTGAGTTGATTTCCTTTTCCATTTCTACCTGCTACTACAAATCCCTCGTTGTTATATTCACCCATTTTCCATCGTCTCACTTCATTCTTCTCACAATCAGAAACATAAAGAAATCCATATTTATCTATTGCCAAACTACGACAGTCAATATTGCCAATGAGAATTTGTTGATTTTGATTTATCCATCGGATCACTCGTCTGTTATCACGATCAGCAATGATGATCGAATGATTTTGTTGATCAACAATCACATCTGCTGGACAATTCAATTGATCCATTTGATATCCTTGTTTATTTCCACCTGCAATGATTTGTCCTTGTTTAGCATTATATTTCCATTGAACTATACGGTGATTTAACCAATCAGCAATGAAAATATTTTTCTTTTCATCAATGAAGATTCCAAGAGGGTGATCGAGTTGATTTAATTCTTGTCCTATTCCATTTCCACCAGCCATAATGATGACATTTTCTTTCCATTGATTAAATTTTGATTCTAGAAAACGTTGAAACCAAAAGATTTTAATAAAGAATAAGAAAAAAAGAAAGTTGTTTTTACCGAAGAATAAAGAAAAAAAATAGTAAAAGACGATTTATAGAAGAAATTTAAACAAATCGAAACAATAGAAGAAAATTTTTTAAAATAGATCTTAACATGATGGAGAAAGCCTCAAAAGATAAAGTCTCTTTATACTTTTTGTCAAGGATTAAAATCATTTTAGAGATTTTTAGTTTATGGTATGATTTATATTTAATAAATTCACTCATGAAATTTTAATCTGAGAGTTTATTCATCGATAGGTCTATCCATCAATTAAATAATCTGAAATCTTCAGCTTAAAGCAACATTTTCTTCTTGAGATATTCAAGTCTTGAAAATAATTCATATAAAACAAAGAATATTACAAATATTTCAAGAAGGAAATAGTGCTTAGAGTTAATAATTTCAAAAAGTTTTACTACAATGAATAAAGCTTTCATCTCTATTTGCAGATTATTCAAATCAAAATATAATCCTTCAATGTTTTCCCGAAAAACTATGTCAAATGAGAATCTAAAAAAAACTCAATCTTTTATTACTTTTCAATACATTTCACTTTTAATATAAACAAAAACATAATATTCTCAATTGTTTTATTTTCTTCGTCATCCCTTTTCTTTGTTTTTATAACTTTTCGACATAATTTTATGCAAAACGAGAATTATTTTTTAGAAATAATTGCTAAAAAACTTACTTTTGGATGAAATAATTGAAATTTCATTAATAAATGATTGTGAATCTTCTTTAATGGAAATATTTGATGGATCATTGAATTCCTCTGTAGTTTCTATTAATTGATTTTTTAAATAATTTAAATTAATTTCATTATATTCATTTTCTTTATAAAGTTCTTTTATTTGTTCAGATAAACTATTAAATTTTATTTCAATATCATTAATAAATATTTCTGAAGATTTAATCACAAATTCTCTACAATTTTGTGCTTTTTGTTGGATTATTTCAATTGAATTTCTTTCCCATTGATTAATTTCTTTTATTAATGAATGATTTTGTAGATTTTGTTTTTGTTCATTAATTATTTGTTTAAATTGATCATAATCATTAATAATATGGTTTAATTCATCACTTAAGTTCTTTTGATGTTCTGTTAAATGTGTTAAACAAAATCTTTTTGAACATCCTTCACAAGAAAATGTTATTTTTTCTTTATTACATGTAAAACAGTATGTTTTGTTATTTGCCATTGCCATGTCGTTGAATAGAAGTAGGTAGAAGAAATGAATATTCTCCTTATGTACTTTTATTAATATTAACGTAGCAACTTAATAATAATAAATGCATTGCTCGGTAGTAGAAGAAATGGAAAAAAGAATTTTTTTTTATGACAACAATTACTGTTTTCTGAGAAAATTCCAATTATAAAACTGATATAGTATGTAAGATGGTTGGGTAAACGTTGGAAATTGATTTCATTGTAATTTAAAATAAAAAACCAAACAACTTTCGTAATATTTATTCAATGAGAGAATGTTTTAGTGTAGATTTGGATGTAAGTAAAGGTTAGACATAGGTTTATACATACAATTTTATCCTCCAGATGGATAATATATCAAATATTTCATCCATTCAACTACATCGTTATGCTCACTTTCATCTTTATTTTCATCATTGTCGTTCTCAAAATAATTCTCGTATCTTACTCTTTTTCATTCTTTTTTCATGTTACATTAAAAAACAAACTTATCAAAATGAAACTATTTCAAAGAATTAAATTTCTAAACTATGATGTTTTATATAATTATTTCGATATAAAATAAGAGTTTCGTATGTCTCAATTTGAACTTCTTTCTCAATGAATAAATTCTTGTCACTATTTTGTGAAAGAATAATATTTTATGTTTCGTGTATTTTTTTCCATCCATACATTTGATTTAAAAGAGAAATATGACATTTTAGAAAGTTAGAACTTATAAAAACTCGTTTCTTACTTTGAAAAGAAGTGGCCTTGATATTCATTTTCAGTACTTCTTTTCCTTTACGGCAACTGTCTTCTTGTTTTGCACATAGAAATCGCTTGATTAGTTCCACCTTCAACCACGTATGTACATTATGATCAAACAATCATTCTCTTTCAAATTAGTCTTTCAAATGGGTATTTTTACTAATGCGTGATTCATTCTTCACAGCATATAGGGCACAACGAAAATATAGTATAATTGATGTTTTTCATATTCAGAATAAATATGCACATACATTAATTCTTAAGTGGTGTCCATTATATGAGAAAGCCTTACAGAAATAATCTCAACTTGCTCTCCGTTCTTTTTTTAATATTTGTCTTCTCCACACCTGATATTACTTCACTTGTTTGTTGCGCTTGCTTTTCTCCTTTTGTAACTGCAGAATTTATGTACTGACTTAATGATCATTAGTTTATGCAAAAAAGAAAACAAATAATTTCAACTAAAATTAAATTTTTCAACAAAAGAAAATCATTCAAAAATAAAAACATTAATGAATATAATGGTTTGATCGAAAAAGAATAACTGTAGTGAAATAAATGACGAAATAAGATATAATTAAATTTAATTATAAAAAACGGAGGTATTATATATAATCGAATATTCCAAAAGGTTTTTTTAAATATCTCAGCGTGGATACATAACAGAAACTTAACCTTTTCTCTCAAAAAAATTCACTATGAAAAGCATCAGAAGAATGATATTACCAAATATCTACAATGATTGATATTAATGATTTTCTCATAATGAAAACATATTTGAAAAAATTGTATATTGTTTAAAATGTATTCTTTCATAGAAATTTTGTTTAATGTGTCATCGTTTTAAAAATAAATTTAAAATGCTATCATAGATTTATTTTGAATTATTTGTTAAATAAAACATTAAATGAATACTCTATTTTCAAATTTTTTGTTTAATTAATGTTTTATTTATGAAAATATTATTCATGTTGTTTAATATCGAATGAATATTTTTTTTAATTGAAATAATAAATAAAACTAGTCAAACAGAGACTTTATTCGTCAATGAATTTTTCTCAAATGTTATTTAATAGAAACAATGAATAAATCAATTTTTTATTATATTCTTTAAAATATAATCTGCTCGATAAACTTATTAATTATAAATTTACTAGATAAGAAAGTAAATATTAATTTATGTTTTAGTTCTCATTCTATTTAAAAGATATCACTGAATTTCTGTTCTTCTTGAATTTTAAAAAAATAAATACAATGAAAAATAATTCATATAAAATCATTTTAAGCTAATAAGATTTAAGATGATTCAAAAAGATCTTTTTATTCAAACATCAAAATAAAGATTATTTTGATTTGAAAGAATTGAATTAAATATGATAACAAAATTCTGAAAGGTTTCTTTAAATTTCTTTGTAAAACAAAAGAAATCTTTTTACAAGTTTTACTAAAACAGATCTGATGGGGAAATTTTGATTTAAGAAAAATCTTTGAAATTAAAAATCTAATTTGAATTATGTATCATTTACAGAACTCTTATTATATTTGGATTTTACTTCAAATATTTTTTTCTGTTTTCATCTCAATAAAAATGTTCATTAATATGATTTTAAATTTTTAATAAGATTTGATTTCAGTTTGCGAAATCATTACCAAAGCCAAATAAAATAAAATTGGAAAACGATAATATTTCTTGAGCAAAATTATGAAATTAAATTAAATTTTAAAGAATAAAACAATCAAAAACACTTTTCTTCATTTTTTTCTTATCAAAAAATTTCTTTTCATTTTTTCAAACTCAAAACTTCATTCAGATATTATTTCAAATTTTTGAATTCGATCATTTCCCGAATCAGCAACATAAAGATTTTCTTCATCATCAAAAGATAAACCACGGGGACCATTCAATTGATTTGATCTATTTCCTTCACCATTTCCACCTACAACAATTTCACCTTCTTCTTTTCCTTCACACCAACGCATTACTCGATCATTCACACAATCTGCCACATAGATTTGACCTAAGTCATCAACAATTACTCCTTGAGGTTTAAACAATTGATTGAGATTTTCTCCTTCACCATTTCCTCCAGCCACAACAATTCCTTCTTTTGCACCTTTTTTCCATTTCATCACACGATTATTATACTCATCTGATACATAAACAGATTGATCTTCATCAACAAAGATAAAACTGGGAGAATTAAGTTGATTAAGTTGATTTCCTTTTCCATTTGCACCTGCCACTACAATTCCTTCATTGTTGCATTCTCCCATTTTCCATCGTTTCACTTCATTCGTCTTCCAATCTAAAACATAGATAAATCCATGTTTATCCATTGCTAAGCCCCAACAGTCAATATTGTCAATGAGAGTTTGTTGGTTTTGATTCATCCATCGGATCACTCGTCTGTTTAACGAATCAGTAATGATGATCGAATGATTTTGTTGATCAACAATCACATCTTGTGGATGATTCAATTGATCCATTCGATTCCCATTGCCATTTCCACCTGCAATGATTTGTCCTTTCTTTGCATTATGTTTCCATTCAATAATACGATGATTATCACAATCAGCAATGAAAATATTTTTGTTTTTATCAATAAAGATTCCAACAGAGATTTTGAGTTGATTTAAGTCTTGTCCTTGTCCATTTCCACCAGCCACAGTGATGGCATTTTGTTTCCATTTGTTAAATTTTGATCCTACAGAATAATGATAAAAACAAAACATTTTAATAAAAAGAATAAGAAAAAGAAGAAAAGTTGTTTTTATTCATTATTTATTGTAAAGTGTTAATGTATAATTCTATTCATAAATTTATTAACATATAATCATTAGAAAATAAAGGATGTTTTCAATGTATACTTTTATAGATTCATTTCTATGAATTTTTATTAAAAAGTGATTTCAATCACAAAAAATATCTTCCTTCACTAATGGGTATCAAGAAAATGAAACTAATTCTGTTAATTAACTAAATTAATAATCACAAAGAAAATTATAAAACATTTTCTTCTCAATAAAACATCTTTCTATAATATTAGTTCGAAAACATCTTTTCGGTATTCACTTGAGAAAATTTGTACTCTGTATAAATATATGAAATCAATAGGTTTTGACATTCAATGAAAAACTACTCGATTGTAAGATTATAAAATCAAACTGTCTCTCAGTTATTGATAGTTTTCACATTTGAAAAGAATATTTTAATCATCATTCATTTATTCAATCGTTGAAATAATTCTTAAATATTTATATAAAATAAAGAAAATTTGATTCAACTATTATTATTTTTTCCAATAGAAAAAAAACAAAAGAGACTTTCTATTTGATTCTTAGATGGATATTCAATTATAAGGATTCGTCGAATTCTTTTCCATATACATCGATTAGTATATATTGACACTTCTTAACAATTGGTGTCAAACTCATGAAAGTGTTATTAATAAAGTTCGAAAAGTAAAAAAGTAAATTTTGTTTTTATCTATCAAAGATTTTTTGAAAATTGAAGAAAATTTTTCTTTAATAAAAATTTATTTTATACTCTCTAGTTCTTTTTTTGCATACAAATAAATTAAATTTTCTATTTCTATTGATAGTATTATTATTGATTAAATAAATGAATAATATTCTCAATTGCTATATCTTCAACATTACTTTTCCTTGTATTATAGTTTAAAATAAATTGATAGAAAATGAGAGTTATTCTTTTAAAAATAATTTCTTAAAAACTTACTTTTGGAGGAAATAATTGAAATTTCATTGATAAATGATTGTGAGTTTTGTTGAATAGAAATATTTGATGAATTATTTAATTCTTCTGTAATTTCTATTAATTGATTTTTTAAATAATTTAAATTAATTTCATTGAATTCATTTTCTTTATGAATTTGTTTTATTTGTTCAGATAAATCATCAAATTTCTTTTCAATCTCATTAATAAATATTTCTGAAGACGTGATAATAGTTTCTCTACAATTTTGTGCTTTTTTTTGAATTATTTCAATTGAATTTGTTTCCCATTGATTAATTTCTTTTATTAATGAAAGATTTTGTAGACTCTGTGGGTTTTTTTTTTTTTCATTAATTCTTTGTTTAAATTGATCATAATCATTAATAATATGATTTAATTCTTCATTTAACATTTGTTGATGTTCTGTTAAATGTATTAAACAAAATTCTTTTGAACATCCTCTACAAGGATATGTTATTTTTTCTTTATTACATGTAAAACAATGTGTTTTATTATTTGCCACTGCCATTGCCATCTCGTTGAATATAAATTTATAGATGAAATCTAAAAAGAATTGTGTTGTGGCAAAATCTCACTAGTAAAACTGATGTGACATCTAAGATGGTTGGACAAAAATTGAGAGTATGTTTGTTAGTGAGTTCTCAAATAATCCACACCCACACTCATGAACGCTTATTAGAATTAACTTAATCTCATTGAGGCCTACATAGAACAGAAAGATGGACTCGAAAGCTCTGAATCATTTATGCTAGTATCCATATTAGTATATCTTCTATATATGTAAGACTCTCTTTGCATTCTTAGAATTCTTTATATCATTATTGTAAGGATTATTTACTAAGTCTAATCTATCAGTATCATCATTTAACTTTCGTAGATTTTATCCTTCTATTTTAGAATCATCTAATCTACGATACTTAGTTGAATTTGTCGTTGCTGATTGACTCATAGTAGATTAAAGCACCAGTAATATCTTTCAAATAAGAAATAAACAATAATATTCTTTTCTTCTATGCCTTTAAAAATATATCATCGAAAAAAACGTTTGGTAGATACCTACTAAACACACCGAAATACAAATGAAAGAAAAAAACAAATATAAATATGATATTTTTTCTCTTCTTATTTTTCCTCTTGGAAATTACCTACACAAGCCATATTTTTTTTATTTCATGATCATTTGTGTAATATAAAGTGACTGTATGTGATGATTTAATATATCTGTTTTCTTCCTATTCTCGACAAAATTTCGACGAAGAAAGGTAAAGAAAGAAAAAGAATGTACAAACATTAAATCATTATTTGTTTGTCGTTTTGAAATAAACGTTCGTAATACAAGAAAAAAACAGTTACTTAAGTTGAAATATTTCATATGAAAATGAATCGAAAGAAAAATAGAAAAAAAAACTAACAGATGATTAAGTTATATGGCAAAAAAGAGATAGAATAAGGGTGTGGGTGTTAGTACTCTACCTATTCTGCACCCACACCCTTCAACCCATTGATAATAAAATCAATAGAAACTAATTCTTTTGCAAATTCGAACAATTACTTAAGGTTGATATTCTATTATACTTGTATCGTCTAATGCTATCATAAATGTTATTTAATTAATGAAACCATCAGTCAAAACAAAATCTAATAGGAATATTTTCAAAAGACTAATTATTATAGTCATAGTTTTGTTGAACATAATCTGAATGATCAAAAGAAAAGCAAAGTATGGATATGTTATATATTAGTTATGATAATCTTTAAGAAATAAATGTTAAATAATAAGGTAATAAATAGTCAAAAACGAATTCTTTTATATATTATAATATTGTCTACAAAGACTGATGAACATCTGTGCTATGCATACTATAAACGAAAGTTATATATGAATTTCTTTTACTATTTTTATAAGAAAATGTGACTCTTGCAGATCAATGTTATCACCAACCCGCATGTTTTCATCATCGCAACACATATTTAATCATATTAATATTTTTTCTTGTTTTCCAAAAGAAAGAATCAATTTTATTTAGTTTTTCTACAACAAAAAAAAAGTAGGTGTGCATATTAGAAAATAAATACACGGGTGAGTTAGTCAATAAGATTTAAAAAGAAAGATAGATAACGACAAATCAGTTCTCATTTTTCACCAAAATCATTATTCCCGGTTACCACTACCACTAATAAGACGTGTATTATCCGGTGAAGGACGTTCATTTTCGTCTTCGCTGTCATTGGCACGCCATCTGTTCAAACTTTTTTTTTCTCTTGAACGCCAATTACTATCAGCATCGGCACGTCCCCGGCTTTTTGATGGAGCTGGACCGGTACGAATATTTTCTTGTAATTCATCAGCTGGACGTGGTTTTGGTCGCCAAGCTCCATTTGATGATGATTCACCTGAATGTTGTTGTGATGGACGTTCATTATCAGTTCGTGTAGGATTAGAATATTTTCTTTCTACAGTACGCCAAGTGCTTGATGTTTCAGAATTTTGTTCTGATGATGGACCTCGTTTTTCATCTCGATTTGGTTGATCAGGTCTTGATTTTGATTTCCATGAATCGTTCGATGGTCCTTTAGTTGTTGGTGGTTCATCTAAACGTCGATCAGTATTTTTTAAACATTGATCATCATTCCGACTACGCCAATCATCTTCAGGTGGGTGTAGGTGGAAGTGGGCGTGAGTATGAGTCAAGGTGAGGGTCTGGATGAGTGTGAATATGAGTATTATATCCATCATACACTCACATCTGTCATTTCAATTAAAATATCTTTGTCTATATAGAAAATAATAAAGCGATATTCTGACGTCTGAAATTGGCTACTACACTGATTAACTTTTTTCATAATTAATAGTTTTGAAGAGGTGCTTTTATATTGAAATAGTTTGACAGATCTCAGTATATCTTCAAAATACAGATTCAAATCACTTAGATATGAGGTTTTTAGACTTTTCTCTTCCTTATATTTATTCATTTTCAACATTTGAAACTATTCTCTCTAGATCTCGATAATAAAATTAATTTGTAATACGAAAAACTTGAAAAAATATTTCGTTTTCTCTAAATGAAATAATTGAATAAACATACCAAATGATGAAATAACTGAAATTTTCTTGATAAATTCTTGTGAATCTTGTCGAATAGAAATATTTGATGGTGGAAGAAGTTCTTCTGTAATCTGTGTTAATTTTAATTGAAAATGATTTAAATCAATTTCATTAAATTCATTTTCTTCACGAATTTCTTTTAATTTCTTAGATAATTCAATAAACTTTTTCTCCATATCATTGATGGATTTTCGTGTTAATTTCATCACTGTTTCTCGACATTCTTCTGCTATTTTTTGAATTATTTCAATTGAATTTATTTCCCATTGATTAATTTGTTGAATTAAAGAAGAATTTAGTAGATTTTGTTTTTGTTGAATAATTGTTTGTTGAAATTGATCATGATCATTAATAATTCCATCTAATTGTCTGTGAAGAATTTGTCGATGTTCTGTTAAATGTTGAAAACAAAAATCTTTTGAACATCCTGAACAAAGACACGTTGCATTTACTTTGTTACAAATAGAACATTTTGCTCTGCTGTTTGCTGTTGCCATTTGTCGAAGAATTTGAAAAAGAAACGAATATTGTTCTCATTTTATCTGTATTTTTATTTATACAAAATAAAATGAGTCAAAGTCAACAAAGATCCGTAGGTAGTGAAAGAACGAAGAAAATTTTTTTTCAATAGATAAGAGATTTTTATCATCAAAATAATTTAATATTCATTGACATTGAATTAAAACTAAGTCTTTTTAAAGAAGTTGAATTTTATTGATCTTTCGTCTTTTATATGAGCTGGTATACAAATAATATTGTAATTTTCATTGAATAACAAAATGAAATTTTGAATAGATGTCATTGATCTGTTCAATTCTTTTTAATTCACTGGCCAATTTAATACTCTTAGATATGTTTTGACTTTTAGGAAATATATGTTCTCTTTCAAAACTTCGATAGTTTACGTCATTTGGATATTGATACAGAATTTATATTGCTTAACGGTTACAAATGGAAGGAAATTATTCGAAACTGGTTGCCTAATTTACGAATATTCAACAAGAAGTCGATGAATTATTTGCTTCATTTCAAACTTTATTTTGGGCTGTTGAACATCAATGGTTGGTTCGATGTCTTACAGCGGAAACAATGATTCATTTGCAAACAGCATCTAGTAGATTCGAGTACAATGACTGTGCGAATTTTAATCTTGAGGGTGTGGGTGTGAATGTGGATATAAATATTATGCACCCACACCCAAATCAGATGAAAATTTTTTTGGCTGGATCAAAAATCTTTGAAATGAAAAGTCAAATTGAAATTTTGTATTAATTAACTTTATTATTTTTTTATTTTATTTCAAATTTTTGGTTCATTTTTCTTTCCAAATTCTTCTTTTTGTTTCCATCTATACGAAAATGTTCTTTGATTTAATTTCAAACAGATTATTTCTTCAATTCCATTTTTATTAAAAATATTTTAAAAACCAAACAAAAATAAACTTTGTTAATTTATTATAGAGAAATCTATCCAATATTCGTTCTGTTCGATAAAACTCATTTCAATTCCATTTTTATTATCAAATTTTCGTGAAACAGTTCTTTGTTTTTCAATTTTGAACAATTCTTAAATTCCGTCAAATCGAAAAAACAAAAAACATTTGATTGTTTTTATCAAATAAAAATATTTAAATAGAATTGTCTCCAACATAAAATCTTCTTTTTGAGCAATTTTCCTTTAATTCAATTTAAATTACAAAAGATTTTTTTTCTTTTAGAAAACTTGTTAAAAATTAACAAACGATGAAGAATTAGCATTTCTTTCGTAGAAGTTTTTAATCAAAATTCTGAAATTAAATTCAGTTTTAAAGAAAAACAATCAAAAACACTTCTCTTTGTTTTTTTCTTATCAACAATTCCTTTTTCTTCAAAATTTATTCGATTTTTTTATTGATTTTTAACAGCAATATTCAACTTTTTCTATTATTTTTATTTCTTTGTTTAACAAAAAAACTTCTCTTTTTCAGGATAAAAATCTGATTCACACAATTATTTCAAACTTTTGAATTCGATGATTATGAGAATCAACAACATAAAGATTTTCTTCATCATCAAAAGATAAACCACAGGGATCATTCAATTGATTGCCTTCAGCATTTCTACCGACAATAATTTCACCTTCTTCTTTTTCTTCATACCAACGCATTATGCGAGCATTTCCATAATCTGCTACATAGATTTGACCAAAATGATCAACAATGACTCCTTGAGGTTCAGACAGTTGATTCAGATTTGCTCCTTTACCATTTCCGACAGCCACAATTCTTCCTTCTCTTGCATCTTTTCTCCATTTCATCACACGGTGATTGCTCATATCTGATACATAAACAGATTGATTTTCATCAACAAAAATAAAAGTAGGGAAGTTAAGTTGATTGAGTTGATCTCCTTTTCCATTTCCACCTGCTACTATCATTCCTTCGTTATTAGATTCTCCAATTTTCCATCGTCTAACTTCATTCTTCTCACAATCTGAAACATAAAGAAATCCATGTTGATCTACTGCCAAGCTATAACAGTCAATATTATCAATTAGGATTTGTTGATTTTGATTTAACCATTGAATCACTCGTCTGTTACTATAATCAGCAATGATGATCGAATGATTCTTCGGATCAACAATCACATCTTGAGGTTGATTCAATTGATTCATTCGATCTCCCCTGCCATTTCCACCTGCAGTGATATGTCCTTCTTTTGCATCACATTTCCATTCAATAATACGATGATTATGAGTATCAGCAATGAAAATATTCTTCTTTTCATCAATAAAGATTCCCATAGGACCAATGAGTTGATTTAATTCGTGTCCTTGTTTATTTCCACCAGCTACAGTGATAGCATTTTGTTTATATTTGTTGAATTTTGGTTCTAGAAAAAAATGAAAATAAAACATTTTCATGAAAAGATGAAAATATTCTTTTATAGATTATATATTTTCGAATACACTTCTTTCATATGAATTCATTTTCAATATAAACAGAGAAAATACCTTTTTAATTGTGATGAAGAAAAGAGAATAAAAACATTGTTATTTTTCTAATTTATCGAAAATCTACTATAAAATATTTAAAGTGATAGAGTTGTAACAATATATCTCAAAATAATTAACAAATATTGAAGAAAAATTAAGTTTTTAATTTAATATTATTTCATATCCTATCATTCTTCTTCATTCTGTTTCTTTTAGAAAGTATTTCTTACTAACTTACTTTTCGATAAGATAATTGAAACATCATTAATAAATGCTTGTGAATCTTGTTCAATAGAAATAGTAGATGGATTATTTAATTTTTCTGTAATTTTTGTTAATTGATTTGTTAAATAATTGAAATTACTTTCATTAAAGTCATTTTCTTTATCAAGTTGTTGTATTTGTTCCGTTAAATCATTATATTTCTTTTCATTGTCATTAATACATGTTTGTGATGATTTAGTGACAATTTCTCTACTGTCTTTTGCTTTTTGTTGAATTTTTTCTATTGAAGTTCTTTCCCATTGATCAATTTCTTTTATTAATACATGATTATATGGATTTTGTTTTCGTTCATTAATTCTTTGTTTAAATTGATCATAATCATTAATAATATCATGTAATTCTTTATTTAATCTTTGGTGATGTTCTGTTAAGTTCATTAAAGAAAAGTGTTTTGAACATCCCTCACAAGTATATGTATTGTTTGCCATTGCTACGTCTTTGAATAGAAGTCTATAAAAGAAATGAATATATCTATTTATCTACTTTCTTTAAATATAAACTGAAGAAAGTGTTTACATACACACGTGTACGCGTCTAGTCGGCTATGAACACACAAGTGTATGTGACTGGCTAACTATTTACACATCTAGGTATAATCACCTGACTAGTAAATATAAAATCATAGTATTATCTTTTTAATAGAGAATGTTTAATATTCACTGTTTCATAATACTCAAAGAATAAAAACATGAAAGACATTATTTTTTTATGCATTTTATTTTCATTGATTAAGGTTAAAATTTGTATTAAACTCATTTCGTGAGAGTACCGTAACTAGGAATTGATACAATGAATTCTCGATTGAATAACGTCTATGCTTTATACAATCATTTGTATTTGAAGAAGATTTTTGTAAACTATTTGTTGATTTAAAAGAAGATAATAATGTTGAAAATTTTAGTATGTAAAAGTTGAATCAGTTTTAATTGTTGATGCTAAATATTGAATTGATAAATAACCTAATTTTCGTGATATAGATTTATATTTAAACGTGCTTAATTTGCTAATGATAAAATAGATGAACATACTGGATTTTCTGTTTTCGTTAAAGAAAATATTGTTAATGAACGTAGATCAGCTTGAACTTTTGATGATGAAAGTTTATGTGATAAACTTAAATCAGAAGTAAAAGAGGTTTTGGGTAATGGTGAAGAGGGTGTAAAATGTCGATGTGAGTACGGGTGTGTAGGTGTGGGTCCATATTTTATTTACGCAGACCCACATCCTAAAAAAAATCTTTCCCCGTTCTTTTCTTATCAAGAATAAAACTTTATTTTTTCTTTCATTTCTCGATTATTTAGTTAACAAAAAATTTCTTTTCTTTTTTCAAAATCAAAATTTTATTCACAATACTATTTCAAATTTCTCGATTCGATGATTCGAAAAATCAACAACGTACAGATTTCCTTCATTATCAAAAGATAAACCACTGGGATTATTTAATTGATTTGGTTGATTTCCTTCACCATTTCCACCGACAACAATTTCACCTTCTTCTTTTCCTTCACACGAACGCATTATTCGATGATTGCCATAATCTGCCACATAGATTTGACCAAAATCATCAACAATTACTCTTTGAGGTAAAGATAACTGGTTGAGGTTTTCTCCTTGACCATTTCCTCCAGCCACAACTATTCCTTCTTTTGCACCTTTTTTCCATTTCATTACACGATGATTGTTCAAATCTGATACATAAACAGATTGATTTTCATTAACAAAGATAGAAGTAGGATAATTAAGTTGATTGAGTAGATTTCCTTGTCCATTTCCACCTGCTACTACAATTCCTTCGTTGTTGTATTCTCCGATTTTCCATCGTCTCACTTCATTCTTCTCACAATCTGAAACATAAAGAAATCCATGTTTATCCACTACCAAACCGAAACAGTCAATATTGTCAATTAAGATTTGTTGATTTTGGTTCAACCATCGAATCACTCGTCTATTCTTACAATCAGCAATAATGATCGAATGATTTTGTTGATCAACAATTACATCTGTTGGATGATTCAATTGATTCATTCGATTTCCTTGCCCATTTCTACCTGCAATGATTTGTCCTTCTTTAGCATTACATTTCCATTCAACAATACGATGATTATGACTATCAGCAATGAAAACATTTTTGTTTTTATCAATAAAGATTCCTGTAGGACGACTGAGTTGATTTAATTCTTGTCCTTGTTTATTTCCACCAGCCACAGTGATGGCAATTTGTTTCCATTTATTGAATGTTGGTTCTAGAAGATAATGAAAACAAAAGATTTTGATGAAAACACGAAAAGAAAATTTTGTTTTTGATCGAAGGGAAAAAAGAAAATATTAGTTTTCAATGAATATTTGAAAAAGAATTTTAGTTTTTGATTTAATATTATTTCATATCTTATCATCCTTTTTTTATATACCAATAAATTGAATTTTCTATTTCTAGCAATTCTATTGTTATTGATTAAATAAATCAATAGTATTTTGAATTGTTTTTAGCTTCTTCCTCATCACTTTTCTTTGTTTCTACAGTTTTCTCACATAAATTCATAGAAAATGAGAACTATTCTTCCAAAAATTATTTCTTAAAAACTTACTTTTCGATAAAATGATTGAAATGTCATTAATGAGCGATTGTGAATTTTGTTGAATAGACACAATTGATGGATTATTTAGTTCTTCTGTAATTTTTCTTAATTGATTTCTTAGATAATTTAAATTAATTTCATTAAATTCATTTAATTGATTTTCGTGATGAATTTGTTTTATTTGTTCACGTAAATCATTATATTTTATTTCTATATCATTAATAGATGTTTGTGATGATTTAATGAGGATTTCTCTGTATTCTTGTGCTTTTTCTTGAATTTTTTCAATTGATTTTGTTTCCCAATGGTTAATTTGATTCAGTAATGGATGATTCTGTGGATTTTGTTTTTGTTCATTAATTCTTTGTTTAAATTCATTATATTCATTGGTTATATGATGTAGTTCATTAGTTAATATTTGACGATGTTCTGTTAAATGTATTAAACAAAATCTTTGTGAACATCCTTCACAAGGATATGTTATTTTATCTTTATTACATGTAAAACATAGTGTCTTGTTATTTGCCATTGTCACGTCTTTGAATATAAATTTCTAGAAGAAATGAATATCTCGTTATTTACTTCTATATATAGATTAAATTAATAACTCAATGACATTGAAAAGATTCTTCTGTAGTAGAAGAAATCGAAAATGAATTTGTTTTAGTTAATTTTAAATAAAAATCCAAATAATTCTAGTGATGATTTTTCAATGAAAGAATGTTTGGATGTAGTTGAAGATTAAACATACATCGTTATTCTCGGAATGGATGATATATTAATCTCTTATCCACCTAACTGTATCGTCATGTTCATTCTAATCCAGTCTAACTGTTATCATTATAATTACTCTCATTCTCAAGATAATTATTATGTAATATTATTTCAAGAGATTTACTTACCAAAATGGAACTATTTCAAAGAATTGTATTTTTAAACTTGTGATATTTTGTATTTATTTTGATGTGAAGGAGAATTCAGTTTATACTACTTATAAGCGAATAAATAAATTATTTGTTTACTATAGTAACCACATATATGATCACATGGTGTTTTCTTCCAGTATTCTTCTCTTTTCTTTCATGTATGATCGTATCGTATTTTCTCCTTTCCGTTATTATAATTCGTTTTTCTGCTGCTCTTTTAACTTATATCGAAATGTGTTATCTTCAAGTTATGAACAAAAATATATTGTATTTCGGAGATGGAAATAATCAGTGCTCATTATATAAATACTCGTGTTTTCTTCTTGAATCAACAAACTATTGCTATGCTTTTAAGCATCATCTTTTTCATCAGCTTTCGATAAAACTAAAACACTACTTTGAATTTCTTTTTTAATAATTAAGTTATTTTGGTTGTTTTGTAAAAGAATAAAATTTGATATTTCATGTTTATTTTATGCCATAGGGAATGAAAAATAAACTGTAGACTTAATATTGATGAAAGTAAGATCGAAGAGACTTTTCTAACTTATCTAATTTATTGTAGATAATGAATTCCATTATGACAATGAAGTATTATAAAAAATTTTGTTTTCTATCGAAATAAGCAAAGTGTTTCGTACACGATCATGGAAGAGTTTTATTAAAAATAGTTTTTAAAAATCACAAAAATATTAAGACATTTTTTCATAATTTGAGTATAAAATACTATTGTTGAGCAAAAAGAATTATTTTGTATTCTTAAAGATCGAAATGACTTTTTCTACTGTTGGTAGGAATTGAAAAAATAAACTTTCTCAACAAAAGAGGTGCTAAAGAACCACACACTTCACATGAGAAAATCGACTTATTGAATACTTTATCAAATAATATATTATTTAAAACGAGACAACGCTTCTTTGTGAGGTATTCAGATGAAAGTGTATTTTCTCATTAAAAAAACTAATTTGTGAAACGATTTCTTGCTCATATGATACACCGTTTATTGTTTTTTTTATACCATAACATCTATTCTAAGACAACATGAATGATTTTGTTGTAATAAGCAGTATGTATATATATATATATATGGGAACATCTCTAGACTCTTGAATTTTTATGTCTGGCAAATACTCTAACTTCAGAAAAATTATATTAAAAAAAGAATTTATGCAAAACTTTTGCGCTATTCGTATTTATTCGATGAATATTGATTTTAGTTGATACAACAGAAGTTGAAAAAAAATATGGCAAAAATCTTGAAACAGTATACATGCATGCACTACTAGGATTATGTTCATTATAAATCATATTACATGAAAAACTATAAACAAGAATGTTAACAATAGTATCGATATTAAGATGCAAATAATATCTTTTTGTTTAAAGCTAAAAATAAAAAATCATTATTATAAACAGCCATATGATTTCTTTTGATTTGAAATAGGTCCGCGAAATGAAGGTTTGTTGATGATTTATAGTTACCTATTCCGCGACGAATAATTTTACATTTCTCTGGCTTCGTATAAAAATTGAAACATAAAGAGCAAGAGAGATTAGGGGTGTCACTTTAACTTTGCTTTAATAGTTAAAGTTAAAGTTAAAGTGTTTTACTTTAACTAATAAAGTTAAAGTTAAAGTGACACCCCTATTTATTTACTCGAATTTCTTGATCGAAATTATCAAATTAAATTCAATTTGAATGAAAAAAAGCCAAAAAGATGCTTCTTCATTATTATCTTATCACGATATGTTTTTTTCTTCAAAATTTATTCAATTTTTTATTTAACAAAAAGTTCGTTTCTTTGTTTTAAAATTAAAATTTCATTTACAAAATTATTTCAAATTTGTCGATTCGATTATTGGAACCATCAACAACATAAAGATTTCCTTCATCATCAAAAGATAAACCACAGGGATCATTTAATTGATTTGGTTGATTTCGTTCACCATTACCACCAACAACAATTTCTCCTTCTTTTTTTCCTTCACACCAACACATTACTCGATGATTCCCAAAATCTGCCACATAGATTTGACCAAAATCATCAACAATGACTCCTTGAGGTAAAAATAATTGATTCAGATTTTCTCCTTTATCATTTCCTCCAGCCACAATTCTTCCTTCTTTTGCACCTTTTCTCCATTTCATAACTCGATGATTGCTAAAATCTGATACATAAACAGATTGATCTTCATCAACAAAAATAAAAGTAGGATTATTGAGTAGATTAAGTCGATCCCCTTTTCCATTTCCACCTGCCACGATAATTCCTTCGTTGTTGTATTCTCCCATTTTCCATCGTCTCACTTCATTCTTCTTCCGATCAGAAACATAAAGAAATCCCTTTTTATCCATTGCTAAACCCCAACAGTCAATATTTTTAATTAGGATTCGTTGATTTTGATTCTTCCATTGAATCACTCGTCTGTTTCCAGAATCAGCAATAATGATCGAATGATTTTGTTCATCGACAATCACATCCGTTGGACGATCTAATTGATTCATCCAATTTCCTTTGCCATTTCCACCTGCAATGATTTTTCCTTTCTTTGCATAACGTTTCCATTCAATAATACGATGATTTAGACCATCAACAGTGAAAATATTTTTGTTTTTATCAATAAAGATTCCTTCAGGGCTATTAAGTTGATTCAATTCGTGTCCTTCTCCATTTCCGCCAGCCACAGTAATAGCATTTTGTTTATATTTGCTAAATTTTGGTTCTAGAAAATAATGAAAAAAAAAGACGTTAATGAAAAGAACAAGAAGAAGAAGAAAAGACTAATTTCGATTGAAATTTTAATTTTGTTTGTACTATTATATTTATTCTTAAAAGCTAACAATCTATTTCATTTTATTATTTGTTTTAATTTACAATTTCGATATGAATATTTAGAAAAATATTTCATATCTTATCATTCTTTTTCTATTTCTATGAATACTATTCTTATTGGTTTCATTTAGAAATAAATCAATGATATTCTCAATTGTTTTATCTTCTTCAGTATTATTTTTTTTTAAACATAATTCTATAGAAAGTGAGAATTATGTCTTAAAAACTTACTTTTTGATAAGATAATTGAAATATCATTAATAAATGATTGTGGTTCTTGTTTGATAAAAATCCTTGATGGATTATTGAATTCTTCTGTCATTTTTCTTAATTGATTTGTTAAATAGTTTAGATTAATTTCATTAAATTCATTTTCTTGATGAATTTGTTTTATTTGTTCATTCAAGTCTTTTAAATTCTTTTCAATATCATTAAGACATGTTCGTGAATATTCAACAACAATTTTTCTACATTCTTGTGCTTTTTGTTGAATTATTTCGATTGAATTTCTTTCCCATTGACCAATTTGTTTTATTAATAAATGATTTTGTTTTCGTTCATTGATTGTTTGTATAAATTCATTATATTCATTGGTAATATAATTTAATTCATCATGTAATATTTTTTGATGTTCTGTTAAATGTATTAAACAAAATCTTTTTGAACATCCTTCACAAGGAAATGTTATTCTATCTTTGTTACATATAAAACATTGTGTTTTGTTGTTTGCCATTGCCATGTCTTTGGACAGAAGTTTATAGAAAAAATGAATAATCTACTTATCTATTTTTATAAAAATAAACTTAATAATTGAATATCAATAAGAGTCTGAATGTGGATATAGAATATATTTGATGCTCACACCCACCCCTCAGCGTGGTTTATCTGATAACGTTTAGAAATTACTATTTGAAAAGAATTTGATCAGAACACAAATTTTTACCCTACTGGACAAATAGGGCAAGGCATAAAAAAAAGATTTCGTCTCGCCCTGTGATGATCTCTGTTGTGAACTACGGATGAGTTTTTTTCAAATAAAAAGATGTTTACTTTCACCCTCACTATCGATCTGGAGATTGCAGCTCTTCGGAGTAGAAGCTTAGATGATACTCTTACTTGATAGATATTATTTCTTATCGTAACGTTTCGACAGCGATGCTGTCTTTATCAGGTAGTGAACAACATGATAGAATGGCTAGCATGCATATACATACTCAACATTTCCTTTCTCTCCCATGTTTTTTTTCTTTTGTTCTTTCTTTGCGTTTTTTGATAGTGGAAGAGCAGAAGAAAACAACTAGTTACTTCTGCCAGTATCACTGTCTTGCCGTCCCAGTATCAAAAGATGAAAAAAAAGAACAAAAGAAAAACATGAAAGAGAGGAAATTCATAGATCTACCAGATTGAATTGTGTTGAATATTTTCACTTAATGAATTGATTTCATTCTTTTTTTTCATATTGGTTTATCTGATATTGTTTCATTTTTATCAGTAAATCGAAACTAAATCATCAGTTTTATTATAAGATGATTATATTTTCAATAGAAGATAATAATGTTAAAAATTTATTAAAAGAAGAAATTGATTAAAATTTGTATATTTAAAGATTGAATCACTCTTAATTGTTGATGTTAAATGAAGGAAACCTAAATAGATAAATATATAAAAGAAAATATTTAAATATGTTTAATTTATTGATGATCAACGAGATAATTCATCAGTGGTTACTGCAGTAAATACTTCAATTGTAAATTAAATTAATTGAATTTTTGTTGATAAAAGAGTTGAAATATTTGAAGTTATTCTTGAGTTTTCTTTTCGATGATTTATTAAAGATTTTGATTTAGAAATTTTTATTGTAATCATTGTAGACAAATTATATGAGAGGATTTTACTTGTAAAAAAATATATAGAATGAAAATTTAATTTTTTTCGAAACTTTAGATCGTACGAGGAATATGTTTTCATTGAGATAAATTTATTTTTCTCATAAAAATATTCATGCCATCAGTGTCTAAGATTATTCACTAATAAAAGAAAAATATTGACATAATTGATCTCATCGAGTTATTTGTTAAATTAGATAGACAGTTTTCAAAATATTAACCATTAGTGATTGGCTTTTTATCATTCGTATTATTTTTCATCTAATTTTAATTGATCAAATTCTTCTTTAGTATTACTTGATAACGCGATGTATTATTAAGAAGATAATCATCAAATGATGGATGAGATAGATGAAAATTTTTTATTACTAATATTTGAATCTATTGATGAATAGATTGTTATTGTTAAGGACATTGACTGTATAGCTTTGACATAAGCAAGATGCTTTATGCATCACCTTCATCGACCACTCTCTTGTATTTAATAACGTGCGTTTTGTCTAATATCGGTGAAGAGAAGAAACGCGATTGTTTTTTGTTTATTTTGGTGATCATACCTTTGCACCTGGGTTGGTACACAAAAAAAGGTTTTGATATAATATTTCGAAGTTTTCAACTAAAAAATGCGTTTTTACTTAACGATTTTTCAGAGTTGAGTAACTTAACTCAACAAGGTATTCAGTTCGATTCAATTCAGAAATTGAGTTGTCCAGCTCTATAATTTTCGACTATTCTATTCAAATTAAGCTTCCTATGAAGACTAATTGAGAAGAAAACATCATTATAGAATGTATTAGGATATTCAATACGATAGACTCCTATGCTATTGATATGAATAGTACTTTCCGAGACAAACTTCTACGGAAACATTCTCTGCGAAATACTCATAGCTCTCTCGCAAAATAGTAACTTTTAAATATAGTTTCTCCTTCAAGACAAATTGACAGAGAGATTGAGGGTGTATTTAATGGTCACTTATTTATTTTTTATGTATTCTCTAAATATTACTGGTGCATCAAACAAATGGAAACAAGCAAGAAAAGAGCAAAAATTTATAAAGTTTTCTACGATGAAGAAGTGATCGATCAATGTCCTGAATATGAAATGGTGTTCAGCGAACAGAAACCACATCCAGAGTATAGTCGTTTAGCCAATGACGCAGCCAAAGACACCAGTATGGAATACATGAGAAATCTGATCACATCTGTGGAGACGTACCTAAAGAAAAATATAGCTGATATCAATGGATTATTTATCAAACATGATATTGAAGCTGTGATTATTTCCGCTGTTCTGTCACGATTCAAACGAGATGAAAAACTGGCCGTGAAATATCCATCATATGAATCTGTTTTTCTCTGTAATCATAAATATTATCAACGAACACGAGAACGCCATCCACTCCATTTTTCATACATTAATATCGATAATGATGATGACGTTGATCAGTTTATTCGGAACCCTATATTAAAGTATCCATTCTTTCTCAAGGCTCTTGAGTTACAACGGAGTCTTCATCAGTATATTATTAAAGATTGTCAGCAATTGAAAGAAATTGTCTCTGAACTTCGAATTGTTTTACCAAACTATAATGCTGAAAAGAAATACGTTAATGAATACGCTTTAGACTTGCAAAAGTATCCTTTGACAAGCAAAAATATAATGATCTGTGAAGAATTCATCAGTGACTGTCTTCAATTAAATTGGGAGGGATGGGCTGATCATCAAGGTACAATATTTACTTACGGTTTCACTGATGAAATACTTCAAGATATTTCTTTCAAGAGTAGTTTTGTCAACATTGAATTATGGATAAGAAAAACGAATTATGATGATATTCGTATTATTGAAGTCAATCCTCGTATTGCATCTTCTTATCAGAATCAATATCGAAGTTCTTATCATGGTGCTAATTTATATCATTCCATCATTAAACTTTCCATGGATCATACAGACATTGGTGTTATTCCAAATGTTCAAACGAATTTTACTGGCTTGTATTCGTGTCAATCTGTCATTGGTACACGATGTGATGGAAAAATTTCTCAATTATTAGATTTGGACAAAATCGAACAAGAAAAACAAATTAGAAAAGATTATCATTTCGTCTTTTATTTTAACGATCCAGAATTTGAAATCGTTGATAATCATCAGGGTAGTGGAAAAGTCTTAATGAAAGTCTTTTTTACTACAAAAACGTACGAACAAGCACAAAACGAATCATTACGATTAAAAAAGTTATTTCTCATCAAGGATAACTTTGATATGACAATGCCAAAAATAGATCATCATTAATAGACTACATCCCAATCTTGAGGGTGAAGGTGCGGGTGTGGCTGTTAAATTAATTTCATATCCACATCCACACCCTCAAGATACACTTTAAGGAATATACTCATTGAAAGATCGATAGAATATGTTAAGTAACTCTACAAATACTAAACTTGTTTTGATATTAATTTATTTTAATTGAATTAATCAATCTTAGTTCTTCGAAATTTTTCCATGAGAAATATATCTGAAAGTATTGTTTAATTAATTCATATGTTGCTGTTCTGCACACATTTCTTATAACGAATAAATGTATATACTATTTTGCGCATGATCGAACCTCCAACGTTCGAACGATTTATTTTATTACCTTTGAAGTAAAATACATGCTCACTCAACCATTTATCCCTTACTAAATCTATATTAATCTTCCAAGAGCTTATCATAATTGAATGATAATATCGAGCTATTTGAATAATTTTTTACTGATCGAAAAATTGTTATTTCTTTATTTAATACGATATATAGAAAAATAGTTAAAAATATGAAAGCTGAAGAGGATTAAATATAGATAGAGTAGTAGCAGTGAAACAAAAAGCAAATATAGAAAATATACAATGTAGAATGTTTATACAATTGTAGTTAGATGTGTTGTCATTTAAATACTTAATAAACTATCATCGGAATCAAATGTCATAAAATAAATTGTAACTGTTATAAATATAAGTGTATTTGCAGCCATTACAAAAGCCATTGAACCAATTTTAATCTAAATTATTTTAAAATAAAAATATATATAAAAACTAAATTGAAAAATTAACTTACAATAGCAGCTCGATATAAAACAGCTGGCAGACCAAATGCGGAAATAACAATGGCACTTGTTAAAAACCACATTAAATCTATACATGGACTGTTATCACTCATACCATAACCACTAGATGATGTACATTGACGTCCAATCATTAATGGAATTGGACAAAGTACATAAAATATAATAACAAAGGTCGGCCACCAATTACTAGAAAAGAAAATGAAAAAAAAGAATATTTTTTATTATTAATAATCTTCTAATATACTAATTGGATAGAGCACATCCTAAAATGAGTAAAGTCAGACCGATTGATGCGAGAAATGCCAAAAGAACAACACTACATAATAAAAAATTTCATTATTTCAACATAATCTATAATTTATACTTGCCCTAAAATAAGAAGAAAAAACAAAAGATTTTTTTGAAAAATAAGAAAATAATATTTTTACCTCGAATTCCTTGAAAAAATCCCATTAATGAAATAATTAAAAAAATATCTACAAAAAAAAGAAAACAAACAAGTTTTTTCATAAACATCAAAACAAGATTAAATAATTAAACAATCTAACGACATCCTTTAATAAATGGTATACCAACAGGTACACGTTTTTGATAATCTCGATAAAGTTCTCCATAAAATCTTATTAAAGTTCCTTCTTCATAAACAATACGTTCAGAAAAAAATAACCAAGTTGCCTAAAATAAAAAATTTTGTATTTAATTTCTTATTTCTCAATTAAATTTTGCTTACTATTAAATAAAGAAGAAAAGATATTGGATTAGCAAGTAATATTTGTGTACCACATGCCCACCAAAACCACCCAACATATGATGGATGACGATAATAGTTATAAATTCCATGTGTTATTAATCGATGTTCTTTATTTGGTTTATCTTGAATTAAATGTGAAAAACTTTGTCGAGCTGTATACATTGCTAATTTACGTAAATATTCACCACTAATAACCATCAGTAAACCAAGAATAATCAATAACCAATGAAAAGGAAATCCATTTGGAAATAAAAAATATTTTTCAATAAAATATTCCGTATAAGCCAAAGCTATTGCACCATGATATTGTGGTGAATGATTTAATAAAAATGAATCAATTGTTAAAGTTCTTGGACACCAAAGACCAACAGATATATATTCACTTAAATGAAATATTGATAAAATTATTGTAAATAAACCGATTGCTGGTGATGTAAATGACCAAATACATCCAATTGTTAATATTAATGTTAGAAAATGAGCACGAAGAAAGACTTCTTTAGTATAAAAATGACTCAATACAAGAAAATGAATGACAAATAAAATCAATATAAGTAAAAACGATATATAACAAGAAAGACGACCGAGAAGACAAACAAATATAAATGGTATTGATAGAAAAAATGGAACAAATGAAGAAAAACATGAAGAAAGATTTTTTCTATAAATTAATTCCAGATTCATTGGTTCATACATTTCTTTGGTTTTTGTTATAACACGAACAAAATCTGTTTACATAATAATTTTATAAATTATTATCATAAATGCATTCTAATAAATCACCTTTTTTGTAATCTAAAATTATGAAAAACAATAAGATTTTATTTATTTTTCTATTGCAAACAAATGATTATTATAAAATCAATAAATATATATATTCTTCTTCTTCTTCTTATTTAATAGAGAAATACATCAAATAAAAATATACAAAAAACAAGGCGAATTTCAGCATTAATTAGAAAATCTTTCAATAATAAAATTATATCTGAATGTTTGTTTAATGAATAATTTGGGTTTACTCTTTTCTTAATCAATGCTAATATTTGATGTCCGAAGAAAAAGATCGTAAAGAGTCTATCATTTTATGATAAAATCTATTGCTATGGTCAAAAAGCGAAGACGTAAAGATATTTTCTCAGATCAGATTCTTGCAAGATTCTATTACATCGCGAAATATCATAATAAGTTTGTAGTGTAATCAAAGTGCAAATAAGATTTTGTGACCTGGGTCTTTTCTATTGAAAAATATTCTATAGAATTATTTGGATATTCTAGTAGACTTAAATGAATATATCTATCGTACTATTGAGAAGAACTTTCAATTTTTATGATAAAACAAATGACACTAGAAAGTAGATTTTTCATTCTAAAAATAATCTTTATAAATATAGATACTCAACAAACTTTACCATTTCTAATTTAGATTGAAAATCTAGAACAAATATTCCATATCTAGAAAAAGAAATATCTGTATATACACACACATATATATACTAACATACACTACAGATCAATAATAATAGTAATAAAAAAAACCTCGTTTTTTGTTTTCTTTCTCTATCGAAACATTCGTGCAACAGTTACAAGTCCTAAAGTAACAACACTTGCATATAACGAATATTTTAATAATGCATCTGTATTATAGAAATCATTTGTTGAATTTGTAAAATAATTTAATTTTGGATAAACACATAAATATCCTAATCGAACATAAATATCATCTTGATGACGTGTTTTATCTCCACGTGGTGAATATGGTTCTAAAGTTTTTGTTGAATTATTTTGTGAACGAAATAATAAACTTGTAAACCATGATTGTGACATATGTTCAGTATTTGTTGTTACTTGCATATTTGAACTATCTTTTGAATTTGTAAATATTGATACCATTGTTATAGCTGAATAATCAATTGGTAATGGAATTTTATGTTGACGACAAAAAAATTCAATTGGTAATGGATAATCTTGTTTAACAGATGGTTGATCAGCTTTTGTTAATATAAATAAACATGGTAAACGTGGATAAACATGTTGTTGAAGATAAATTGTTGCTACATTCGAAAATGCTCGTGGATGTGTACGATCAATAAGAAAACAATTAACATTTGCATTTGGAAAAAGTATTTTTTCATCAAGTTCATTTGCATGACATTCTTCAAGTATTAAACATTTGGTTTCATTTAATACACGTACAAAATCAATAGCATAATATTTTGTTTGTTTATATAAAGATTTTGTTTGATAATCATAAGAAAAAAATGCTTTGGTTTTATTATGTAATTTTTCAGCTAAATCAAATGAATGTCGAACTTGATAAATTGTTGATGAAACAAATCGTTTTAAAAATGAACTTTTACCAGATTCAGGCATACCATAAACATGACAGATATATGTCATACGAGATGGTAAACGTGTATCATCAATATTTGATATTGCATATGAATAACCTAATTGAAATAAATATGAAAATGTTAATGATGGTTGTGTATGAGCAAGAAAAAACCATTGAGCAAGAAAACCCGATAATGTTAATAATGGTAATTTTGTTGAGGATATAGATAAACGTAAATAGATGCAATGTTTTATATTAGTTAATGATGAATGCATTGGTGGTATTATATCAATTAATGATTCAAATAATTGATTTACTTCATTGAGTGTAAGACATAAATCACCATCACTATCGAAACGATGAAATAATCGTGTTAAATAATCGATTGCTGATGGAGATAATTCACCGGTAAGATCTAAAATAGAAATAAAAATAGTTGTATTAAAATTGTAGCATGATGCTGTTTTAGAGAATCTCTCCAATAAACAAGTAAGACTCGCTCAGATTTGAATTCTTCGGCCCCGATTACCCGTCAGTTAACTCTTATAAAGAAAAATCCTTTTATATCTCTTATCTAATTTTTGGGCCAATCAGATCTTCTGGTTTAGTTCATATTTTGCATAAATATAGAGTTCATGATATAACGACTAATTTTATATATGTTTGATTACTTAACCCTTTCCGACCGGATGTTGCCAAATGGCAACATTGAGATAATGTTGTACTGATAACTCTTTCAAACTATTATCGAATACCATTATTATACTACGATAATTAAAGGTACATATCATAGTATTCTGTTACATATCGATGTTTTCTTCCTCATATTAAAATCTTATCATATTCATCATTCAACAAGAAAAATATGCAGAGTACGATTTTCTATCTTAAGTATTTCTTGGAGCCTTTGATAGATGATTTACCTTCAGGAGGATTTGGTAGACATAATTCCAGTTTTCGATTGTAATTAAATCTTTCTAATGTTGTATAAATCGTTTCATATTTTCCTTTATTTAAATATAATTCAAATAAACATTCGAAACCTTGATAAGTTAATGCACTTGTAATAACACCTCGATTTTCACTCGTAATTTTAATCCCATGAATTGTTCTTCGTTTAATTTCTTTTTTTAATTGTTCAATGGTTGTTTTTTCATCATTTGTTTGAATTTTACCAAAACAATAATCTTGTAAAGTTGTTAATTCATGATCATTTAATAATTGATCATTATCTTGATCAGCTATTGTAAATATTCTTTTTAAACATTGTTTAAAACGTTTTGTTAATTTATTTTGTTCTTGTAAATAATTTATTGGATAAAGAACACATTTTTGTGCTGAATAAAATAATTCCGAGATATTTTTCATTGTTCGTGTTGATGTTTCAATACATGCTTCAATACGAGAATATTTTGACATTGTTAAACGAAAAAATTCACGATTTTCATTATTAATATCATTTTTTTCATGAAGATTTTCATCAATTAAATCACATTTGTTAGCAACAAGTATAATTGGTATTGTTGTTGCACTACGATCAATTAATGGAAGCCAAACAGTTAATAAACGATCACGAGATTCTCGACTATCAAATGCATACACAAGACATATAACATGTGCTTGACGTATACATGAATGAAGTGAACGAGATTGTTGAAGAAGAGGATTTGGTGATGGACATTCCATTGGTAAAAGTAAATCATCGATTTCATCAGGTGACATTGGTTGACGACCACAATAATCCATTATAACAGTTGGTACACGTGCTCGTGTTACTTCTGGAGGAATTGATATATCATCAGTTGTTGGGCGAATTGAATCACCAGTAAGATTTATTGAAGATGGAACAACATCTTCACTAACAAGAGAATAAATTAATGATGTTCGACCAACATTATCATCTCCTAATAAAAGTATACGAATTTCAGATAAATCCATCTACAAAAGAAAAACAGAAATAGATTTTATATTTAAGTTATTCATAAATTCGAATGATATTATTAAAACAAAAAGTGGGTGAATATTTTATTGAATAACTTTCGACAGGAACAAGATGAAGACACATCGAAACTTATATGGAAAACAGGATATCTCTCATCAACAACAAGTGAATTTATTGATTGCCTGGAGCGTTTTAGAGTTGCCAGAGAAAAAGCTACAAAACTATGAAATGATTTCATTTCTGACTTATCAATGTATAGTCCACTATCCCTTTTTTTTCTCTATCTTGTTTCGATCGAAAGTTATTGAAAAACTACTCACTCACCTTTTATTTTAGAATGCAATAGTTAAAAAATCTTTTCTAAAACAACCTGATTAGTTCATCTCTTCCGATTTGATCTTAAACAAATATACTTTTAGAAAAAACATGAACCATATCAATATCCATACATAATCATCTACAAATAAATGAAAAGTGTTAATTCCATTGTTTATGTTTCATATTCACTAATAGGAAAAGAAAAAGAATAGTCAAACAAAGCCATTGATATTCTAATGCATTTGTCTCAATTCTATGATTAACTACTGTATAGATAATGAAAATACAAAAGAAGAAAAGAAAAGAAAAAAAAAAAACAAGCGGAACAAGATACAATAACAAAATCTGAATTAGCCATCTTCATTGAAGTCAAAATTCCTGAGAAAAGAGAAGAAGAAAAAGAAATACATACATATATATATAACACAACACAACTCAACATTTAGACTTTGTCAAAGAATACACAAATATATAATATTCACAAAATAACTGAAGAAAATTTTTTTCTCTCGTCTATATACAAATGAAATACAAAACATTTTCTTTTCGAAATTGTTACGAACACAGAGAGATATTAAGAAAAAACAAAATGAATAAACGAACAAACGAACGAACACAAATGAAATACATGTATATATTACATCTGGTAAAGAAATAAAATAAAATATTTGTTTTTGATTAATATGAAAAAAGAAACAATGGATTTAATAAGATAATTTCATGATGATAAATTCTTTATGTAGACGTAGTTAAAACGTATTTAATCATGATCATTCTGAAGCTAGAATAACAAGAATATATTTTTTTTCTTATTGATATATAATATTATACTTTTTTGATTTCTTTAATAAAATTTGATATAGAAATAGTTGATGATCGAGTGCTACTACTACTACTGCTATGTGATTGTCGTCGACGTGATAAATTTATTTTTAATTTCATTTCATTATTTATTGGTAATGTTATCGAAGCAGAACGCATTCGATGGAAACGAGCCGATTTTTCTTCTTCTTGTTTTTCATTAGAGAAATCTAAATACAAAAAACTTAAATAAAAAAACTCTTTTTAAGTTTTCATTACCTTCTGGTGGTTGATCAACTTGCATAGAATGATCATCGACTGCTTTTTCACTGTTATTACGAAAGCATTCTTCAACTTTTCGACTTAGATCTTCCTTATCAACATCATCATCATCATTATTATTGTCATCATCATTAAACATCGATATTTTCGATGGTGTTTGTTCGGTAAATGACTCAAATTCTTCATTATCTTCTTCAGTATTTGTCGATGTTACTGGTTGAAGAAGAGATAAAGACGATGATGATGAAGAAGAAGAAGAAGAGGAAGATATAATTTCTGATTCAGTTGCAGTTGAATTTGTTGAAGGAGATGTTCGGCCATTCTCTTTCTGTTGTTTTGTTTTTATTAATTTACGACGTGGAGTATCAACAAGTAATGTAGATGCATCTTCAGATACCGGACGTTTTGGAGTCTAAATATTTTATTATTTTTATTTATTTAGATTTAACTGATGTCATATAGGTAAGATCTAAGACAAAGTTTAGTCATTAAAAGTAGGTCATCATGCTTATCTATCTTATAAAAGAGAATGAATCATTATTAGAAAAAATACTTACTCGCACAGGTGTCGGACCATTTGAAATCGGTGTTAAAATATGTTCTTTCCGTTCTAAAACAGGTTTAAGTCTTTGAGGTGTTGTTATAACTGTTGCTGGAGTCATTGGTGATAAATGATCTAATTCAACAGTATCATCTGAACAAACAGATGCTGTAGCTATAAGAAAAATATTTTATAAAATAAATAAAAAGGAATCGATATAAATACATGACGACGTAGAATATGTAAGTCGTTCTTTTTTCTTTTTAACAATACAGTCACTAAATGGCGGTCCAGGTGGATCAAGCATAACAGTAACACAAGTTATATTATCCGACCGTAACATTCGTTCACGCCATAATGTTAAAGCTTTTTGTACAAGTTCATGCGATGGATTACGAAATGGTCGATTATCATCATCCTATTTGATTATTTTATAAAAATAAAATTTTCAAAAAAAACAAACAAAAAACAAACTTCAGATTTAAGAATCATTTCTTCAGTTTTAATATCACAATTTCGAACAATTTCTACAGCTGCTTCTGGTGTTATCATATTCCATAAACCATCACTAGCTAATATTAAACATCGATGTTTATTTGAATCAATTTCAATAACAGTTAATTCTGGTTCCGGTGAAACAGAATAAAGATTTGTATTTGTATTTAAACTCCATAAATCACCTAAAGCTCTTGAAACAGCTAAAAATGGTATTTGTTCATATTCAATTGTTGTTCCATTTGTTGTTGTCATTGTTGTTGTTGTTATTGAATGTTGATGTTTATGACGATATTGATGAGAAGAATTTGTTGTTGATTTTTGTCTATTCCAAACAACACGATGAACACCAGCTTTACAAAGAACATTTCCACCACTATCACGTATACGTTTTAATTCAAGTGGATCTTCAGGTTTATGATCACGTGTCAAACGATTAGCTGACCATGTTTTATATAATGTATCACCTTCAGCTAAAACAATAGCAGAATCACCTACATGACCAATATATAATTTATTTCCACGAACAAAAACAACACTTGCTGTACAACCTAAATAATTCATATAAAAAAGTTGTTTTATCCGAAGAAATTTTCTTTTCTTAAATCTAACCCGAAGTACTCGGTAATCCAGATGATGTTTTTGTCCATTTTCCTACATGATTCCACATATCACTATGACATGCAAGAAAACCTTTTCGAATAGCTGATAAAATTGATTGATCATTTTGACTTTCATCCGATGTAGTTGGCCAAAATTCATCTTGCTCAAGTATATGTTGACATAAACTTTGTCGTGCAAATTCAGCTGCTTCTTTACCACCATGACCATCAAATATACCAAAATATGCTAATGATATCGGACTTTCTTTATCTGAAGGATTTAAACGTTGAAGCGCAATTGCATATGCATCCTCTAAAATATTTATTTTCAATGTTATTTATATCAATAGAAAAACAAAAAATCCTTTACCCATATATTTTCGGCCACCTAAATAAAAATATAGAATAAATAATTTAATATAATAATAAAAAACAACGAAATTATACCTTGATTACTATTGGTAGTAATTCTTAGATTAACTTGAACACAATCGTTCAACTTGTTCGTCATATTATCCGTTAAAACGGATTTATTTGTATAAGAAAAAAAAGTAAAATTTTTGTCAAATAGTCAATCAAAATTGTATTGTATCTAATTTTGATAATGAATTAAAAACTATGTTTACAAAACCAAAAAAAAAAATAAAGAAGACTTGAATGAAATCAATAGATTTGATTCTCGATTCTTTGTACTTTATTTTATTATTCTCTCATCTATTTACGGTATGTTGAATCATTAACGTCAGAAGAAATTTAAAATGTTACATTGGATTAAAATTTCTAACCAATGAGAAAATTTTAAGATTTAATTCACAAATGCATTAGTAATTGAGAAGAACTTTTTTGATTGGTTAATTCAAATAGAAATATATGGCTTTTACAATGTAATATAATTTTGGATGAAAAATAAACTTATTTAATGTATATTATTATTTGCAATAGTAGATATTAGTTATTTTATAGATTATGATGAACAACGAAGATAAAACTTCGTTTGATAAAAATATGTTTCATCAAGTAAATAATCTAATGTTTTATTTTGTTATCTTAGTTTTAATTAAGTTATTTGATATATAGATGTCTTCAACTCATTCTCAATTTCATCCATCTTCTTCGTCAATAAATGATCAAGATGAATTGATAGCAAGACGTAAATTAGAACAAAAACGTCGTTTTCAACAAAGACAAAGTAATCCTCATACAAACGTCGATTCACTTATGCAATCAATGTTTACTGATTTAAAATTACAACCAAAAACTGTATCACAAAATTCTTCAGGTAATCAAATGATTTATTTTTTTTATCTTTATTTCAAAGTTCTTTTCTTTTTAGAAGCAAGAAATTCAGTACCACATATTTCAGGTATACATATATTTTGATTTATCTAATAAAAAAATAAAATATTTTTTTTTCTTTTTGATTAGAAGTAAAAAATAATCTGGTTGTTCATCAATTACAACCTCGTGTATCAGCTCCTGGTGCAGCTGATTGGTCTAAAATAGCATTTGATGATGAATTAAAAACAATATTTCATAAAGAAGAAAACATTCCAACAATAAATTCAGAACAATCATCCATAGTACATCATTCCATTGAACAACCATTATCATCTCCTGTTTTAGTTTATCCATCATGGTGTTTGCAACCAATTAATTTTCTTCCACTTGTTTATCAACAAGTATTTGAAGCATCATGTATATCAGATGTTATTCAAACATCAGTTTTATATCCAATTCTTCTTTTATCTGGTCTAAGACAAGATCAACTTAGTCAAATTTGGTCACAAGTTAATTTAACACAACCAGGTATTTTAACTAAAGAAGAACTTCTTATGGCATTAGCATTAATTGCATTAGCACAGAACAGTAATGGACAAATATTTTCTAATGATCAATTGCATCATTTATCTGAAATACCTGTACCACATTTTCAAATTCAACAGGGACAAACATCATCATCACCACCTCCGCCTACACCTACACCACCGCCACCACCTCCACCTCCACCCGCATCAGTTCCTCCTCTCGTTTATCAACAAGAAGATTTTGCTGATTTTACATCATTTGAACAAATAGAACCAACCAATGAAAATGCAAATGATATTACTCTTCTTGATTTTGATGAAAATCAGTTATATGTACCGGATATAAAAGCAACATCATCTGATGCACAATCAATTGCTAGTTTAGAATTACCAATGCCAATAAATAATACAAATTATCAGGATGATACTAGTCAAAAAGGAATCAGCGATAATATATCATTTTCATCATCATCAAATACTAATGAAATAGCACCTGCAACTGATACACAAAGTTTACACTCGATGAACTCATCGGAACCTTCAAAACTTGGTAAATATTTTTCGATATTGCGAATATTAAAAGTAACACGTTGATGCATCTAGCACATATAGAGAGAGGATTAAAATTATAAACGAATTGTTAATAATAACTAATATCATGATCAAAAACATCCCATTTTTATAATCGCAAAAGCGAAATATATATTACAATAGCTTGTCTATCCACAAGTATAATAGTTTGATTCTTTCCAATCGTAATTATTTTGTCATTAGAAGATATACAGATGTAAAATTATAAATCTACATGTACCTTGAATGTATAGGTCAATAACATGTATATATAAAAAGTTTTAAATGTCATATCCTTCTAAGATATTATGCATCAGAGAACTTTCGTTTGCACATAAAGGTCCTAGATGATTTAATGGAAACATTGTCAAAACAGGACTAACATAAGGATATTCTACATTCATCTGTAGAGCTAAAATTAATATAATTGTCTTTATTTTTTTAGAATTAACTCAATTTTCATTTTTCTCTGATGATACTTCTGAAATGGATTCTCATACAGCTGTTTGGTTACGTTGTTTTGAAAAATGTTATGAAATATTGTCTCAAGCGAATGAAATATTTTCATCAATTGAAAGTCCAATATTATGTACTGAAGTATTACAACAAGCACGTACTAGAGATTATGTTCAACATTTACAAGAAATATTTCATGTTCATAAAAGAATCTATACAGCAGCTATTTTAGAACCAACAACAACAAATCAATTGACAGTACTTTGGAAACAAATTGTTGTTTTATGGACAAATTTACAATCATTTTTTTCTACAGCTCATCTTCATTTAGTAATTTGTTATTTTATTGAATATAAAATAAAAATAAATCTATTTATTTTTAGTTAAATGATGATGATATAGATTATTCATCGTTATTAAAGGGTGACACATCTTCGTATTGTTCAATATGTTTACTATCAACTATTGGTCTTGATACAGTATTACCAGCTTCGTCATTTTCACTATTTAACACTGCATGTTTAACATTTGCTGGTCGTTTATATCATGCACCATGTGCCAATTTTTATTTGAATCTCATCGACGGAATTTTACCATCGTTAAGAAGATCATCTTAAAATATTTTTTTTTGTTTTTTTTTCTGTGTACAGTGAACGTTCTATATTTTATGTTGGATTACGGATATATACATATAAATATATTTATTATTTTCAAGTCACATTTTAGTAGATAAGATAATAAGAGGAGAATTTTATTTGTTTTGTTTTCCGTATCTTTTAGATGGCTGACGACGGTGATTATGACGATGGAGGTGCTGATTTGGGTATGGATGATGACATCGATGAAGATGAATTCAATGAAGATGAACAAGATTTTGATGGGGAACAAAATACACAAGGTAATGGACAACAAACACAAGGGGATGATCGAATGGATATACTTAATGAAGATGATGCTGGTGGACAAGCAGGAATGAGAACTGATCCATCGAAAAGAATCACAACACCATATATGACAAAATATGAGCGGGCACGGGTATTAGGTACTCGAGCATTACAAATAGCTATGTGTGCACCACTCATGGTTGAACCAGATGGTGAAACAGATCCATTACAAATTGCAATGAGAGAACTAAAAGA